AGGACTGGCCCACAGTGCTTCTGCCAGCGAAAACGGAGCTTGGGAAGGCCACGGCAGAGGGTTGCAGGAGGCAGTCGCATTTGGGAGCCCATTGCTTGGGCCACCACAGGCGCCAACATGAGTGATGTTGAGCTGGCCACGCCGACCCTGGTCCCCCAAGGTAAAACACAACCATGATGCGGCCCTCCATGAAATCGAGTTTGACACCCCTGCTTTAGACTTTCTGAAAAAATCACTAGGAAACCATAGCTAGTCCAGAATGCAGTGGTACAATAATAAGCATGTCACAGTAGACCAATGTGACACTTTGAGCTGCATTGGTTGTCATTAGCCTTCTGAATGAAATTCAAGATGGTGGCTATTACATATAAAGCCTTTTATGGCATAACACTTGATTATTCGAGGGACTACTCATTTCTGAATATTTGCACTTCAGGTTCACTTAATTAAACAGTGTGATCTAATGATAAAATATACTTTCATTTTTGCAACACCTGTCTTCTGCACCCTACTCCCAGATACAGTGGCAACAGAAAGGATGTTAAAGAAGGATGTTGAAAAGCTGGTTAATTGTATGAGTGGGGTGTGGACTTTTGTTGTTGTTGAGAGGTAGGGAGGCACATCTCCTTGTTTTTTCTTTTTATTGGTCTAGCTTTATCATAAGTAATCCTCAGCTTATGGCCACAATGAGGCCCAAGAACGTCCATCATTAAGTAGGTGCTTGTTAAGTGAGTCATACTCAATTTTATGACCTTTTGCCACAGTTCTTAAGCAAAACACTGGCTTATTAACTGTATCATGCAGTCATTACATGAATCCGTCTTCACTGACTTTGCTTGTCGGAAGCCAGCTTGGAAAGTCAGAAAGGTTGATCAGGTGACTCTAGCATGCTGCAACCCTTGTGAATCCATTCTAGTTGCCAAGAACACAAATTTTGATCATGTGACCATGGGAATGCTGCGATGGTTGTGTGAGGACCACGTATAAGTCACTTTTTTTCAGCAGCAGCGGTCATCAAATGAATGGTTTCAAGTCAAGGACTACTTGTAGAGGGTATAGTGCCCAGAGTGAGGCATTTTTTAAACCTTAAGTAAATATTGGAGAATTAGTTTGGTATACCGTTTAAGGCATCAGCTAGAAACTAGAAGAGTTTCTATGCCTTTATGTTCTAGTCCTGCCCTTAGGCATAAAGAAAGTTGGGTGACCTTAGGCCAGTCACTCTCTCTCAGCCCTAAGAAGCAGGCAAGGGAAAACCACTTCCAAAATCCACTGCCAAGAAAACTGCAGATAGTCCAGGCAGTCACCCACAGTCAACACTAATTCAAAGGTAGGGAAAAAAATCCATGTTTGCTGTAAAGATTACCATTATTTTGTGCCTTTTAATAAGTAGTACCAAACCAAATTATTGCTTATCACGAAGACATTTCCTCATCTTAAGCTCAGTCTTATGGATCCACACTATCTCAGCCCCAGTACTTCACTTCAGCCTAAAGTTACTGAGCTTCTTTCCCTTAGGGTTAATGTCAATGAAGAGGTAAGTGATGATTTCAGGTATTGATTGGTAATTTCTTCATGAACAAGAACTTTTCACATCGAGTTGTGACCAGTTCTGCATTTTTTAAATGTAAAAATACAACAGGAGGTCCTGATGCACACCTTCCTCCTTTCTTTTCTCTCCCTGAACAGCATTGTATGCAGAAATATCCCAGTTACCATATGATACAGCAGCAGCTGAATGGAGATATTTTTAGAATATATCTTCACTCTCATTTTATGTACAGTCAAGGAAAACCTGAGCAAAGCTTAGAAATATCAAGGGTCCAGTTCAAGTGCATCCCACTTAAAATAAAGAGATCACCCATATTACCATTATATTCCATCTTATGTTACTACTGTTTGCTTCAAGAGTATTTCAGAAAGGAGAAGTCATTATACTAACCACTGCATTCAGAGTGCAGTTCCTATAGCAACCATCTTATTAAAGCAGCCATCTGCTTTAAATATTAAACTTTGCAAGCCCATCACTGCTGGCTTTAAAATAATATCGCATGTTCATGAAATATTAAAATGAGAAACAAAGGAGTGCATGCAAGAATATCTTTCTTGAATATTTTTGACGTCTCCTGGAATTTCCTGGAACTTGTTTCAATTCTTTAGAAATGTAACAATGTAGTAGACCTTTACACAATACCTTTAATAATCACATCTTTTATATTCACGGAGCTGATTTAAGCAATCAAGTGGACAGATTTCAAACTGTTTCCCATTTGATCTACCTTACTTATGTACTCACTCTTTGTATTATTCATTGAGGGGGTTTTCTGTTTAAAATGTGGCAATTTTATTCTTGACGTGTCATGCTTTTTGATTATTGAAGGTCACTTTTGCATCTTTTCCTACAATTCTAGGAAATTTTATGCTCCAAACCTCAGAAATCAAAGCCCAGGAAAAGGTTTCTGCTTTTATATTTTCAGTCCGTTCTGCTTCCATCACTCCTTTTCCCATTTCTCTGAAACAAGATTATTTAAATCCAGATGTTCTTTTCAAAAAGTCAGAAATAAGCTTACTCAAGGACTATTGCAGAGGGAATAAACTATTCAGAACTTTCAGAAGAGGAGGTTTATATCCCAGACTGCTAGTTTCTAACTACTGAAATATCATCTGTCTGAAGATGGTACTTTTATTTATAGTTCAGGAATTCAGCAGCCCATGTATGAAAAGTCATCCTCCAAAGCCTTCTAGCTTGCCTTCAGTTCGTTCAATGATACCTTTTCTACAGAAAGAAAATTGTTGCATAAAATTGGCTTCTAAACCTAATCCTTCAATACCTGGAGCTCACTTCTGTTACAGCAAAAGGACGGATCATTGAAGCTTAAGGTGTGGCTTTTGCTAAACCTGCTGGACAAGATTTCTTTCTCCCTTTTTGCTGTTTAGATGACAAACCCATGACAGCATCTGTATTTATTCTGAGTCATTCATCTAAACTGACACACACAGCAATTGCTTTTTGCAAATCTAAAGAGATGTATTTTTCCCCATCTGAATATTGCCTGTGTCCCCTAGCTGTTGTACTTAGTAGATTATTACTACTACTAGAATACTACTTCCAAAAATATGGATCACTTCTACATGAGAGCAAAGGGTTAGACTGTTAGGTCAAGTTATTGTAATTTGGTGCTTGTCAGCCCTGATACAGTAGCAGAGGTGGTATTCAGCAGGTTCTGACCAGTTCTGGAGAACCGGTAGCAGAAATTTTGAGTAGTTCAGAATACTACCTCTGACTGGCCCACCCCCATCTATTCTCTACCTCCCGAGTCCCAGATGATCAGCTGGGTCTTCTTTTATTGCCCTGCACAGGAGAACCAAGCTGGAAAGCAGATTAGTGGGTGGGGAGAGAATGGAGATTTTACAGTATCCTTCCCCTGGAGTGGGTGGGAATGGAGATTTTGCAGTATTTTTCCCCTGCCACACTCACCAAGCCATGCCCACCAAGCCACACCATGCCCATCAAGCCATGCCCACAGAACCAGTAGTAAAATATTTTGAATCCCACCACTGTACAGTAGCCCTACTTTATATTCTCTGAAGTGTTTCCTGGTGGCCTAATATAAGGGGTAGAATCAGAGGTGGTATTCAGCAGGTTCTGACCAGTTCTGGAGAACCGGTAGCAGAAATTTTGAGTAGTTTGGAGAACCAGCAAATACCATCTCTGAATGGAGATTTTGTAGTAGCCTTCCCCTGCCACGGCCACCAAGCCATGCCCCCAGAACTGGTAGTAAAAAAAATTGAATCCCACCACTGGGTAAAATCCACAGAAAAAATAATTATTTCATTATAGATGCACTGTGATGTTACTCAAAAAATAAAAAAGATATCAGACTGGGTATAGAATATATGTCCTTGAACGTTTTATGCACATACTGAATAAATAAAAGCCTACATACAGAAATATCTTTCTCTTACCAATCTATTTTTGTACTTAAAGTGAATCTCTTTCCAATGTAGAAATATTCAAATTTAAAATCCCCACTTTCAATCTCAAGTGACTCAATAAAACACCAAAATAGACATCTTGCATCTGCTGCTTGTAAAAAACTATTTAGTTATGCTAAATAGCATAACTTTTAAATCTTTTTATGATCTTTAGAGACAATTTATACCTTCACCAAAATTGCTAAAATTGTTGAAATGCTAAATATCATTTTAAATATTGCTCTTTGGAAACTTTGATTTACTAAAATAACAACACAAGGAAAAAAGAGTTGAATCCATGATATATCCTAGGCTAAGATCTGTTAACTTTAAAAGGACATAGAAAAGCTTGCAAATATGTTCTGATGCTACAAAAAAAAAAAAAAAAACCTGGAAAATTATACCATTCCTCAAAAACAATAAATTGTATATCATGACAATTGCCCATAATTATTCTAAATGTGTGCTTTACAGAGTTACTTTTATTACAGCAGTTTGACTGTGAAAAGAATAACAGATCATTCTATCTGCACTCAATTTTATAGAGTAAAAAAGTTGCACTGCACATGATGGATTTTAGTATTCTGCTTTTACTGAAATAGTAATTATTTTGTTTTCTATTTACCGAGCTGCAGCTATGTTGTTTTAAAATAGTACATTACTTCAAAGACTCTTGAGGTCAGAAGAATGATGTAAAATACTTCCAGTATTACATGTCTAGCCAGAAATAAGTCTCATTAAGCTCAGTGAAGCTTCCTTCAAGGTTCACAATTACAGCCTTTCAAACATTTAATTCTGTGCAAAGGATTTTGTCTTTATTATTCTTCCTCTTGAATCTTAAGGGACTTTGTACTATTGTACTGTATCTTCAAAACTGTTTGATGATAGTGAATTAATGCTTTAAAATATAGTCTTTTGTAGCAGGGCTCATAGCATTTAAAAATAGATAAATATCATGGGATTTCAGCAATGTATATAACATTGGTTACCTCTTTCATATGAAACAACAGTTGAAACAGTCAACTTACTTTAGCAAATAATCTAATGTGGTCAGCAGAGATTCATCTCCATAGTTTGTATATATATTAGGACACTGAACTCAACAAATCTGGGGAAAGGAAAGATATGATAGAGCCATTAATTATTAAAAAGTACGGAAAAATACAAGAATATTTAATGTTCTGAACTTATCATTGTTTTTGCCCTTGAACTTTTCCAGTTTAATATACAATTTCATAAACGTTTGATAACAGAGGTGCCAACTTTACCTCATAACATTTAATTGTTTCTGAATGTTTCCATTTAAAGTAAGAGTAAAGTGAGTTGCTTATTTTCCTCAATATACAGTATATTCTGAAGTAACTAAAATGATATACAAGGATGTAATAGATGCATAAGCATGTGCCTACCATCCCTGTCCTACTGTTCCCATCTATCCATTTATTCGTACTCATTCATTATGTATATACTTATACCTGTTTATACTTATATGTTTATATGTTATGTTCATACTTATACTTGTTTTCTCACACATGCTTGACAAACAAAATAAAAACAAAATAAAATATGTGAATTCATCTGAACAAACACACATGAATCTTCCTATCTCTGTCAGCTGTAATGCTAAGCTATAATGATTAAATTCATTCATAGTATCGAGGACATTCTACTTTCAGAACTTCTAGGTTAATGTGTAAGTATACCACATTCCTAATAAAACATCCTATAATAATGCTTTACACATACTTTAAATGAGATACTATATGGATGTTGGATTAATTAATGGTTCAACATCAGGGCTTGCAAATCCTTTGAAAAAAGTTTTTTGCCAAGAGCAGAAGTCTATACAAAAAACATTTCTTCAAATTAATAAAGCAGCCATGCCTTTTTAAAAGCACACACAGCTGTTTTATAAGCTGCTCCTTGGTTTCTCAATGAGTGTGTGTTGTAAAGGTCCACAGTCATATTCAGCTTACATATTTGATTAACATCAATGGTGGTTGTTCATTCAACATATGACAAGCCATGGTGGGCAACATTTGCATCAGTCACTTACACTTCCCCCTGCGTTATTTTTAATCTAATATAATAATAGCTAATACTTGTATTTGAAAATCAGTTAATTAATTAAAACACTAAGTTTAAGGTTACATCTGTGATGAGCTACAAAACATCTCTAATATTTACTTTTACATTACTTTTACAATTTAGAAATGGTAGAAAGCAATATGAATTATGTTGCTACAAAAAGAAAAGTGAAAACATAAAATTGATTCCAGGAGTGAAAACAAAAAGAAATGTATTATGACAACAGATTGTTTTTAATATGCTATAAGAACAGAAAAATATATCCTTGAAAATCTGTTATGACTATATAAATACAACAGACCAGCTTTTCCTATGATTAGCATGGTATTCACAATAAACTTTTTAGGAATTTCACAGCATGTATGGAACCTTAACATATGGCAATTGAGTTGATTAACACCAACTGGCTTCATTATTACCACAGGTTGTATAAATACTGCATGATTTCCAGTGAGATTTCTAATAACTACATATGATCTTTCACAATATTCAGCATTCTGCACACAGAGCAAGCCTGTTGAAGATGAAGTCCTTTACATAACTCATAGCTTGGGCAAATATTTGCATTTGCAAGCAGTTCTTCCAGTCTTTCTTTTCAAAATACAATTTAAATGTCAAATACATTTTAATAACTAAGGAGATCCTTGAGAAAGAGATTTTTGTTGCTATAATGTTCACACTTTATTCTAAATCACAAAAGCTTACGGTACAATACAGAGAATATATCATTGCATTTATTCCATATTCCTGACGCTTTTGCGCATGACACCAAAAATAGCTGCAAAAGGAACATTCTCTGCTGAGATATTTAATGTGAAGTTTTTCCCAGGCTCTTTTTCCCCCCTCATCAGTTTCGCTGAGGCTACACCAACATCTGCGATCCAGGTCATTTAGTCAGTCTGATACTGTACTTGCTGGCTGTTACATAGCCACCCTCAGGAATTCTGGGATCATGTTTGTAAACATTATAGCCATGTGCCCGCGATGTGAGATGACAAGATGACCTGGAGCTGTAGCTCTGGAGGTACTCTGACATGACATAGTTTATGCGTCTAAGCTGTCTTTGTTGCCTAGAATAATGTGAGGTTCTTTTGTGGTCAATGAGTTCTCTTGTCATAGCTGATAAGATGCTGTCAAAAATTTGTCTTAAAAACAGTTAACTTTATTTCTAATTCTAAAATGTTCCTAAATTCAAGGACAGGCTAAGGTCTCTGCTTTCTTCCAATACAATTAACTTTTAAAAACAACTTGCACTTACAGAAAGAAAATTAATCCAAGGAAAAACATTCATTTAGCAAATAATATAGAAAATATTTTAACTATTTCTGATCAATTTTAATGCAGCTAATTATAGTCAGTTTCTTGTATATACAAATGGTCCATTGCTAAATCTCACCTTTTAAAAAAAGTAACTATTAAAAAAAACAATTATAATCTGTACAAATGTTTTACTAATGGCAAACAAACCTGGCAAAATTTCTTTAAGAAATACAGCAACAAAAGGAACCCTAATTTTTAAAACAACTCAAATATTAGACATTATCTTTTTTATTTTCTTGTATTCTATTTACTAAATGGAAATGTTTTCAATATCTGATTAAAGTTTACTTATCCACCATTTATCTTATAATAGATTTTTGAGATTATCATTAGGATTATTTTATTTTAACTGTTCCATACGTCTACCAATGGCATAATAAAATTTGTCTGTCTCTGTCTATCTACTGTTTATTTTTGTCTCATTCCATTGGTTTGAAATGTTATAAGCTTAAATTTGTACACAATGAGCTAATATACATGTGATTATGCATTGTTACCTTGGTGGGTGTGTTTGTGTATAAAATATTGTTTTTATGGTTATATATGTCATAAGTTATGAATTGAGCATCCTTATAAAGTCAGTCAGTCAGTCAGTCAGTCAGTCAGTCTGTCTGTCTGTCTATTTAAAATAAGTCTACTGAGCCTGAGTAATTAACACCAGCGGTCCCCAACCTTTGCGGCTTGGCAGCCTGGCTATGGTGAGGAGAGGGGAACTGGGCCTACTTGCGCAAGTTGAGCTGTATGTGTGTGCGTGTATGTGTATGTGTGTGTGCTGGCCTGCTACTTATGTGGCCTGGTTGCAAATAGGCCCGGCTTGGGAATGGGCCATGGCTCAGAGGTTGGGGACCCCTGATTTAGACTATTTAAATCTGGAACAAGGAAGATCTATAGCCTTTATATCAAGCCAAGTCAAGGACTGGAACTTTGAAATTATAAGCTATTTGAAGTCTGCAGTATTTTATTTATTTATATATCAAATTTAAAGACTGCCTATCTCACTCACAAAGCAATAGTGAGCATGTGTTATGATAACAGAGTATAATAAATTAAAAAGGGATTTTTTAAACTGTGGTCATTCAATAAAGATACTTAAAGTGCAGAAAATATAATAAGATATTGCAAAATTTATTACATACCTATGTTTGTTTAAATAAATATTTTAAAGAACAATTAAAACTATTACCCTTGGCATACTGTTTCAAAATCAAGTCCCACTGAAAGAAGGAGTGTTTCTGAGAATTAACTATATTTATGTGCTTTCATGACAGTTGGTACTAAGAGTTCTCTGGGCCTTCCACATAAAACATGTATAGCAAATTGGTTCAAAATTATTATAATTTGTGGCTTGCTGTTTAAATAGGAGAAAGCACTCTCTGATTTAATAACTGTGAATTGGTAGTATCCTCTCCATCTTCCTGGTCTTAATGCACTAAAGGTTCTAGATTAAGAGAATCCAATAACAACAACAACAACAACAAACAACTAAGACTTTTAAATAAGACATAGCGTAGATTACATTCCTGCTTTCCAACATCCATTCTGTTTGCTTGATTTGTAGCTTCCAAATATATTGCAGCTCTGCTTAATATATGCCGATTGGATTGTGCATTACTTTTTACAATCCACTGAACCAGAACTTACTTATCCTGGCTTACATGTCTTTGTAACTGCACACTTATTAGCCTATTTGGCAAGCTGAAACGAATATTTATTCACTATGTCACACAATCTCTAGCTTGCACTGCCCAGTTCGCTGTCAAGTAGTGACGCTTCTATTTTTGGCTCACCACAGATGACCTTATTGTACGCTACACAGCCGAGTGTCACTAAAACAAGTTTTTTTTTAAAAAAAAAGAAGGCAACTTCCCCAGCTCTCATGAATATATCATCCAGGCAGCATTAAAAATGTGGTGATTGTGGGCAGTAGTGAACAATACAGTAGAAACTGTGGAACTTGTGAAGACTAATGCTGTTAACTAGTGATACATTGCGCCTGCTTGGTTATTACACGCAGCCTTTGAGGATTCTGGGAGGGTGTTTGTAAACAGTGTAGCCATGTGCGCAAAGTCCACGTGGTGTCTTTACTCTGCCTGGATCTGAAGAAATGCTGAATAGGGAAGAGCAAGTACTCGGTCCACGGTAGAACAGAGGCAATACATCTTACAATTTTTACAGAAAGGTCAGTCCTGGAATGTATTTGAATTCTGGGAACACGACAGAGATTGTCAATACTATTTTACAGAGTTGGAAGGGACTTTTTAGGTCATGTAGCCCAACAATAGTAACAAGACCAAACTGAGCACCAAACTCCAATGATTACTAAATGAGTTATATGAAGACAGACTACAATATTTAATACTAGAATAGATTTTAAAAGGTAAGCAAAAACATGCAAGGGTTTGTTTACCTGTGCGTTGAGAGGGAGAGGAGTCAAAATTATCAGTTGAAACAAAAAGCCTGGAATTTATTTTTAGAGTTTAAAATTTAAAATTAAAGATGCTGTTTGATTATTGTTCTTTTATTACTCTCAATCTAATGTCACTGAAGTAAACTTGTAGGATTTTTTTTTATTTCTACTGTACTTTTGTTTGGGGATATGTAGGTTTATATATGTGGCAGTTTGTGAAGATGGAAATATAAAACTCCTAACTAAGGCATATTGTCTCTCCAGCCCAAAGAAATGATTGGAAAACAGCCTAA